AGCCTGGACTGCAGGTGAGTCATGGGGAGGGAAAGGTCAGGCCAAGTGTGAAGAAACCAGTTGGGCCAGCCCAGGAGGGTGGGGAGAGCTATTGGAAGGAGGGGATACAGACAAGGGGACTTGCTGGACCCTCTATTTGGCTCCAGCTCTCTGTTCTTACCACTCCACCCTGCCCCCCCCCTCGCCCCCACCTTCACGCTCTCTTCAAGGCCACCTGGCTGGCCCCAAAGGAGAATCCAGGTGGGTCTGTGCAAGGCCAGTTCTTCTGTCTCAATCACAGCTGCCTGCGCTGCCCTTGGAGTTTGCCCCAGGGACTGGGTGCCAGGCCTGGGATCCAGAGGGGAGGGCAAGGCACCTTCACAGTAGGTTTTAGCACCGGTGCCGGGAAAGACTGGTGGGGAGCTGAGGAGGGAGGGAAGAGAGTGGGAGAACTGCCCTGGCACGCCCCCTCGCCCCTAGGGTCCCAACTCCATTCTGTGGGTCACTCACAGTTCCTGGAAGAGGAGGGAGAACAGAGGGCCCTGGGGCTCCTTCCAGTCCAGGCCGCCTACTCAGGTGAAGCGCCTCCTAGGCTGTTTGCATAAGAAGCTGCAGAGGCCCAGGCTGTAACTCTTTCTTCTCTGTGGCCAATGCCCCAGCAGAAGGGGCGGGCTTCAGTCCAGATGGCCAGCCTGGGCGGGGATGGTGACCGCACCCTGAAATCCCTAAGTCAGGAGGGCCTCTCACCCAGGGGTGGGTCCCACGGCCACAAGGGAGGAGTCTCAGGCCCCTTCCTTGCCAGAATTCACCGGCTCCTGGAGCACCTTCTAGAGGGGGAACGGGGAGGAGAGGTAGCGTGCTCCAGCTTACTGCCCCCTCTCCTCCAACTCTCCCTCTGCAGAAGCAGGTGCTTATGCCCTCTTCTGGGGCATCTCCTTCTCCTACTACACCCTCAGCTGCAGATGGTAAGGTGAGGGTTTGGAATTCATGCCTCCGTCCCTGCCACCCATGCCCACGACAGGGTTGGGCACATACAGGCCACTCAGAAAAGTGAACACCTCTTTGCCTTTGGCTTATACCGTCCTTGCTGAGGGGAACAGGGTGACCAAACCTGAAGCCCACCAGGCTGAGACTGAGCCTGGTAGCGAGGGTGGTGTTTGGGGTCAGGAGGCCTGGAACTGACATGAATGCTGCCACCTCCTGGCTGTGTGATCTACAGCCACTCACTGAACCTCTCTGAACTTCTACTTGTACTTGGGGCAAATGCAGTTATCTATGCCTGCCTTCTGAGCTGCTGGCGGAATGAGCCTTTGAGTGAGAGCTCACAGAACTGTGTCATATCTTATGACGCTTTTTGTCCCCAGTGTCCAGCTGGGTGAGCAGCATACACCGGATGCTCATTGTGTGCTGGTTGAGTGAGTGGTGAATAACAAGGCTGTGAGATGCTGGACAGTGTTGAGGCTCCTCTCTTCTAGGCGGTCCCTGCCTCTGCCGACTGTCTTGCCTTCCACCTGCCCTCTCCCCTCGTCCAGCGGTCCATCGACTGGGTGCTGTTTCCCACCCTCCCTAATGGCCATACGTCATCTCCATCCTCACATCCTTGCCCCTCCTCCTCCTCTTCTCTGGGCCCCTCCCTCATTCCTTTCTCCTGGGGACCCCATCTCATCAATTACCTCCTCGCCATCCTCAGCCTCCTCCTCTTCCAGCTCCTGCCCATTTACTTAGGCCTCAGGAGGCTCCACCCTTGACCTACAGCCACCTCTGGACACAGCGTCTCTCTCTTCCTTGTCAAGCTTCTGAGAGATGTCTGCACTCTCAGCCCGAGTCCTCCCCTTCATGCCTCTGACCATCTGCCTTTAGCAGCCCCCTAGAGCTCCTGCTAAGGTGGCCACTGACTTCTGGTGGCCACTTCGATAGATGTCTGGTGGCCTTTATCTAACTTCCCCTTTCTTCTGGACACTTCTCGGCCTCTGGGCCAGCGCTCTGCTGGTTTTCATCTTGTTCCCTGGCTGTTCCTTTCTCTCAGTTTCCCTCTCTTCCTTTTGTGTGTCGCCCGAATATGGTGGCCCCAGGGCTGTCTCAGGCACTTCTGTTCTCATGTC